GAGTTGTATGAGCCCCTAATAAAACGATTTAAGAAATTTTACAAATAATAATAGATTAGCATCTGGGGTCTTAAAGGCTTGAAGTGAAACAAGCAGCCATCCAACAGAGAAACAAGCCCACATGGACGAAGCACACCAGCCTGTGTGATCATGAGGTGTCACTGGGTCCATGTAACAGGCATCAGAAGCCCCTTCACAAACAAAACCATATGGTTGAGAACGGGGGGTGGGGGGTGGTGGGGGGTGGTGGTGGGGGTTGGGGCAGAGACCCAAAGTCCATTGGTACACAATGGAACATCCCTCACAGAGGGGTCACAGGGAAGGAATGAGTCAACCAGGACTCAATAAAGCACGGATGAAACATACAATTTCCTCTAGTTCCTTGTGGCTTCCTCACCCCCCACTACCATGACCCCAGTGATGCCTCTCACTTTGGACTAGACCGGGGCATGGACACAGCAGATCAGAGATTGAGCTCCGGACACAAACCCAGGAGCAGGAATGGGAATAGTGATACAAGACAGGTAGGGAGAAGTGTGGGGTGGGGAGGCCTGGAAGGGGGAACCGATCATAAAGATCGACACACAACCACACACCCCCTCCAGGGGGAAGAACAACGGAAACCACGGGGGGGAAGGGAGACAGTGGTCGGTGTGAGAGATGAAAATAATAATAATTTATAATCTATCAAGGGGTCACGAGGGTGGGGGAAGTGAGGGGAAAAGTAATTGTCTAGAAAAGAATGATGGCAATATATGTACAAAGATGCCTGATACAATTGATGTATGGATTATAATAAGAATTGTAAGAGCCCTCAATAAACAGATCAAAAAAAGAAAAAGAAAAGTCCGGTGAACTTGTTCTTAGGCAGTAACATGACAGATAGTTCACCCAGGCAAATGGTTACATTCAAAATGTTACAGAATGTTAAAATCGAGATACAAGCTCCAATCCACACTGGGGGAGACCATTTTTAGTAGACATGCCCACCTCTAAAACAATACTGCAGGCAGACCTGGGTAGGGTGCCACCTGTCCGAGAGGGGCAAGCCCATAGCTGTTCCAATAAGAGAGAACAATGGGAAGTTAGTGAGACAGCACCATGTCAAAGGTGATCAACTTGAGTGTGTGGGAAAGACAAGGCAGCCCTGCTGGGTGCTGGCTCTCCCGGACCACACTATGTACTATTGGTGGGCAAACAGAAACGCACCCGCAGAGGTTCAGAATGCTCTGTCCCGTAGTCACTAGTCACACATGGCCATTTAAGATGTACATCAAATCAAAAAGTCAGTTTCTCAGTCACATGAGCCACACACTCAGCACTCAACACCTAACCCTCAGCTAGCAGTGTCTTGGTCAGCACACTTGCAGAACATGCAAGCATCCCAGAATGCCCCAGGGCACAGCACTGGTCTAAAAAACCACATCCTGTACTCCTCCCAAGGGTAGTCGGGGTGGCTGGGGACCAGGGGGATAAGCCACTTACATGGGAGTAGGGACCAGAACACGCATGCACTAAAGAACTTCGGCCCTCTCTGTACAGATTGCTAAAAAACTTTTGTTTTTTAATTTTAGAAAAAAAATTTCAATTCCTGTGTGATATGAAAATTCTTTTTAAAAATTTTTATTTTGATATGAAAATTCTTACAAACAAAAAGGGTAGCCTTTATCAAAGATATCCAAAGTAAAACAGGAAACCTGACAGTTTCAAAAAGATCTGACTGGAAGTACTGGGAGATTCTTCGGGGCTTCAAATAGTGTGGAATCAAAGGGCAATGGAATTCTACAAAAATGTCGAAGCCCCCTCTGGTGGACACCCACTGCCAGTGAGTAGATTCCAACTCACAGCGTCTCTGAGGCTGTAAAGCTGTGGAGGAGCAGATGGCTTCCTCTTTCGTGTGCATGGAAAGGCTGATGGGTTTGAACTGCTGGCCTTGTAGTTTGCAGCTGAGTATGTAGCCACTGTTCCATCAGGGCTCCTCCTCACCTGAATGAAGTATTTAGAACTAGTCCCTTGATGCCGAAAATCTTATCACTGTGAATGAGGGGGAGTGCAGAGTAGAGACCCAAAGTCCATCTGTAGACAACTGGACACCCCCCTCACAGAAGCAGGATGGGGAGGAGACGAGCCAGTCAGGGTGTGGGGTAGCAACGATGAAACATACAACGTTCCTCTAGTTCTTTAATGCTCCCCCCCCCCCCCCACTATCATGATCCCAATTCTACCTTGCAAGTCTGGCTAGACCAGAGGATGCACACTGCTACAGATAGGAGATGGAAATACAGGGAATCCAGGATGGATGATCCCTTCAGGACCAGTGGTGTGAGTGGCAATACCGGGAGGGTGGAGGGAGGGTGGGGTAGAAAGGGGAAACCAAATACAAGGATCTACATATAACCTCCTCCCTGGGGGACGGACCATAGAAAAGTGGGTGAAGGGAGACATCGGACATTGCAAGATATGAGAAAACAATAATAATTTAAATCATAACACATTATAAATTATCAGGTGTTCGGGGGAAGGGGGAGCAGGGAGGGAGGGGGAAATGAGGAGCTGATGCCAGGGGCTTAAGTGGAGAGCAAATATTTTGAGAATGATGAGGGTAATGAATTACAAATGTGCTTTACACGATTGATGTATGTATGGATTGTGATAAGAGTTATAGGAGCCCCTTAATAAAATGATTTTTTTAAAAAGGACACTATGATAGTTTTATTTTCATTTCCAATTTTACTTCAGAGCCATATGTCTGTAACACAAGAGCCGCATATGGCTCTCGAGCTGCAATTTGGTGAGCCCTGCACGGAAAGGAGCATCTGATGATCTATTTAGCTGGGATGTTCTCTGGAACTCCAGAGGCATTATGGGCTGGTGTGGAAAGAGCTCTGGCCTGTGAGTTAAACAGACTTCAGATCTGAATCCCAGCTCTGTGTCCAGCTGAATGCTCTACAAGTAGTCATTGAAACGTGCCAGCTCCCCAGTCACTTGCCCGTTACATGGGCAGTGCTTAATGTGTGCAGTGCTGTTGGAAGGCGTGCATCAGATGCCTGCAGACTGCCTAGCAGAGTCCCTGGGCTGGCACACTGGCTGCCACTGGAGGAACACTGACTACTATGAGTCATGATCATTGTTCAAATGTCAAAATGGGCAAGAGTCAAATCAGGACTCTTGCTAAAACTAAAAACCTCTTCTGAGGCCAAGAACGCATGTTTTACTTCAAGGCAAAGTTCTCCAGTTATTCCTTTTGAAAACAAGAGCAGGCCAACCCGGCATGCTGGTCACATCTGTCTCAGCAACCAGCGGCAAGATGTAGACTCTACCATACTCTTCACCCATTGGAACTCTGCCACCCTCTGAAGCGGGTACCGTTGGCACCCCGATTTTACAGTGGCCAACAGGGGACTGAAATCCAAGCAGTGTGATTATAAATCCCACCCTATGAAGTGCTGCATGCATGCCACCAATTCTGCCAGGCTACCTGCCTTGGGCCCAGAAGATCCCTAAGAAAGAAGCTGTGTTGCCAAGCTGGCTGTAATACACTGGCCCAGGAAGGTTGGAGGCAAGGCCCTGGGTCCTGGTAGCACATAGGTAGAAAATGCAATGGGAAACAATCAAGTTGGTCAACAGAGACACAAAAATTAAATGACTGGACATTAACCCAGCCTAGGATGTAAGAGATCTGAAAAAGGGTGGGGGTGGGGGGACCCTTTTGTTCCTGATGAAAAGACTCCATGGCTCTTATGGAGGTGACAAACACCTGGTTGTATTTGAACACACACCAATCTGTCTCTTTATTCCTGCTCTGTTCACTCTCCCCTCCTCGTCCCCTAAGCCTCTCCTCCCTACTACCAGCCTAAGAAAACAAAACCAAACTCATTGCCATCAAGGCGATGCTGACTCACAGAGACCCGATAAAACAGGGTCTAACTGTGCCTCTGAGTTTCTGAGACTGTTTGCGGGAGTGGAAAGCCCTGTCTTTTTCCGATGGAGCAGCTGGTGGTTTCAAACTGCAGACCTTGCGGTTCACAGCCCAACACATAACCACTAGACCGCTAACTGCCAGCTTTAAGAAGCATCCTTCAAAACGGTGTTTCCCAAACCCACTGGGGAGCAGTGGAAGGATCCAGGGAGCTGCAAAAGCAGACACCCACACTGTATCGTGGAGTGTGGGCTGTAATACAAAGGTTTTTCATTGCTGGGGGTGCTGGGTATAATTCTTTTTTTTCTGAAAAGGGGGCGGTAGGCCAAATCAGTTTGAGAACCTATGCTTTCAAAGCTAGCCACTAGTCTGCCTTACGCATAATGACTTCAGCAGGTTAAGGTTACTCCCCACCATTTGAACAATCTAAGAAGCGAGCGCCTCAACAAGAGGCCTCGGGAGTATTTGGGTGGGCTGAGGGCACTAACTTCTCAATGCTGCAAGTGATTATTTGGTTATGGGAACCCTTTGGGCTCACTGAATTACTGCTTTTTGGTCAGACTACACCAGGCACCAAAGAATAGATATTTAGCATGAAAGCAAATGAATGAACAAACAAACTTTTACCCCAATATGGAAGAGCGCGCTAACAGGCTTGTGGTCGCTGGTTTTCAGTTCCATGTGACTTCGGTAATGCAGTTGGTTAACATTTGCTCCTCTCCAAAGAATTCGGTCACACCAGGCTGGAACCCGACATTTTCCACTACGAATAAAGAAATGAGTTAGACACAGGACAAGGGTCAGACCACACAAGAAGGTGAGAGCCCCGCACAGTGGCTCAGTCCTTGGTCAGACCCTCCTGTTAGACCAAGGGAAGTTTACAAAGCATTGCTACTGGGGACCTAGCACATAGATACATGAGTTTATTCCAAACACAACATGCAGGCAGGTTGTCTCAGTCATACACACGGTTTTGCCTCGTTTGGGTGCCTTCAACCACCAAGGTCCAATCATAACAGTGGTTTCCAAGTGGGGCTGCTGGGCCAGTTACGTTCAGGGCAGAGAGGTTAGCTCATAAGGTGATGGAAACTGTCTGGGGATTCCAAAAGGGGTCATCTTGATAGATTTTCTCAATGACACAGGGCTTGTTCAGAAGTTTCAAGAAAATGGAAAACTTCACCGGTGAGAAAAAAAAGCCAGGCAAGTTGTACTGAAGAATTCCCCCACCTCTACCCCTATCATAACATGCCTGTTCATTCTTGGAGGGCAGCCAGGGCTGTCCGCGGAGAACCCCTTGGGGAAACCTTACCCCAACTGCCCCACAGCCCTGATCTTGCCCCATCCAACTGCTTTGTACTGCCCAAACTCAAATATTTAGAAGGAACACAATTTGAGCCCCTTGAGGATGCCGAGACGGCCGCTTTGGATGGAATGTAACTCGCGGGATGTAGACTTCTTCAGGGAAGGGTTAGAGAAACAGAATCACTGCCTGCAGAAGTATACACACCTGGATGGAGTCTGTGTTGAGAAGCAAGCCCTTCACATTTTGAGATTTTTGGTTTGATAAAGGTTCCACCAATGCGGTAGGAACACTTTCTGGCTTACTCGTGTATTCTCTCATAGAACCAGCTACTTCTCCTTCCCCAGCCACCCTGCTTCTGGCTAGGAGAGCGCCTAGTGACAGTTCTGTAAGCAGCAGCACCCTGTACACCTAAAGCCAGACTGTGACACAAACACCAGTCGTTCAGCACTTGGCCTCGAGTCAGGTCCACAGTGTATAGAAGCTGTGGGTGTCACCTTTCCTTTGTTGATCAGCAGCCTCTGAGCACAGGGATGTAGGCAAAATCCTCCCTGGCCCACTCCTAGTGCTCTCAGAGCATAAGGGAGCTAAAGACCCCTGCAGTCAGCCAGTCGGACACTATTCGAACCCAAGAGAGCCATTTTAGGGAGAACATAAAAGAACCCCAGACCCGCTGCTGGTGAGCGGATCTTTACTCATTGTGGACCCTGTAGGGCAGAGTAGAACTGCTCCGTCGGGTTGCCAAGGCTGTCAATCTTTATGGGAGCAGACAGTCTCTTTCTCCTGCCGAGTGGCTGATGGGTTTCAACCACTGACCTCCTGGTCGGCAGCCCGGTGCTTAACCCACAGCACTACCAGGGACCCTTCAAAGACAAACTGCTACCAGGGCCCTACTGGCAGAGGGATACCACTGGGAGGTTTGGGGAACAGTTGCTGGCTGTAGTGGAGGTGGCATCCAGGTGACGGTACTTTTAATGGCTCCCCAGGAAATTCTAACAGGTCCTTAGAATCGGGGGACACTATGCTAGAAGGGTCTGTCATAGACTTTTGAGGGTTTGCACTGTCTTGTCTCTTGAACTCAATAGCTGAGAAGTAGTTGGGGGTGTGAAGTGGGCAGAATAGAGCAATAGGTAAAGAACTGTTGTTAGGGGTCACAGAGTCAGTTCTGACTCATCGTGACCCTATGCACAACAGAATGAAACACTGCCCGGTCTTGTGCCATTCTCACAGTAAGGTACTATGGGTAGCCTGGAAAACTTCGCCAGCTCTGACATGTACGTACCCCATTCCTAAAACAAGCCACCAGGGAGTATGCATGAGCAACTGTTGCATTCTTCCCGAAACCAAAAATATCACACACACACATACACCCCTCCCCTATCGGCCCCAAGTCTTCAGACTACCAACCAATAGCTTAGATATCTAGCAAAGAACGTCTGCCTCAGGCCTTGAGCACTTGGCAGAATTATCTCTATGGTATCAAACGGACAGCATCAACTTGAAAGATTGGACGGGAACCTCGAAGTGATGCAAATGGGGGAGGAACAACTCAGAAAGGGAGAGTGAGCCTGAGGGAGCACCTCCCAGATTGCCATTACTGTCACTGAATTGTACCCGGTGGATTGTGAATGCTTCCATATGTATATTCTTAACCACAAACTTCAAAAACCAAAGCAACCCCCCTCCTCTGGAAGAGTGCTGAGCCACCGGGCTGTTAGATCTGCTGGGGGCATGACCTAAAAAGCTGCTAGGCCCTTATCACTTATGCAAGGACAGCAAAAAGACCAGGCCTTCACAGACTCTATGAGAAGGTTCTTAGTGACTTTACCTGGAATCCCATCGGTCGGTTTTTGAGTCATACTTGTAAGTGGGAATAAACTTGATTTGCCCTTCTATGAAGTCAGCAAAAGCTTTTTTCTGTGTCCGCTGAATATTTAACTAGAGATAAAAAAGCAGCAACAGGTGAGCAGGGCAATACCATATCATAGAATTGAAAAGCAGGTCGCTCGGGTTCCCATTCCATTCCTGTCTCTGATTCCACAGATTTTACGACAGTGAGACTGCTAGAGCTTATGGATGAAATGCTGGCTTTCCAAGTGGCATCTAAACTCCCATGCACATGGGATGCTCACCACAAGCACATCACCACCTTTTAGCGCTAACGGTGCTCGGGGTAATGGGAAAATGACATCTGAATCATCGAGGGTTCCCCCAAAAGCAGGCTGGACCCACTGAGCACCGTTTTTAAAAAGCACACAAATGGTGAACGGATAATCACAAAAGCCAGACGCAGTGAGTAGTTAAGAGAGTGGTTTGAAGCTATCCTTAATTCGAATGTTTTAGCAGCGTTATTTGTCAGCACTTATTCCAACTGTGCCTTTTTTGAAGGCAGGAAGGAGGAAGAAATGCCAAGAAACGAGTCTGCCAACCTCAGTGGGCAGGGACACAAGCGTGAGAGGAGGCTCACTACCAGAGCCAGCCTACTGGAGAACACCTGAGTCTCAGCGCCCAAAGGTCAGACAGATTCACATGGGGATTGAACATTTGAATCAAGTCATAAATGTGTCTGTCCCCAATAAGCATTGATTTTGACTAGACAGTAGCCACACGCTGCAGTAAGAATTCAAGTTTCATGCCAGCTTTTGAGGCAAATGTACTTACCCCTAATATATGGAAAACAAAAAGCAAAATAAAAACAACCCCCCCCAAACTCAGGTCATCAAGTCAATTCTGACTCATAGTGACCCGATAGGGCCGAGTAGAACTGCCCCTGTGGGTTTCTGAGACTGTTAATACTTTACAGGAGTAGGAAGTCTCATCTTTCTTCTGTGGAGCAGCTGGTAGTTTCAAACTGCTGACCTTGTGGTTAGTAGCCCAAGGTGGAACCCATTACACCACCAGGGCTTCCTCTATGGGAAAAAAGATTCTTGAATGGCAGGCTGTTTATAAATGCTATAGCATCAAGGATTTCCCCACAGGCTTAACATCTCTTAACATCACCTTAGCAAGCCTCAGTGTAGCAATCCGTTCCCATTAGGCCCATCACCTGTGCTGTTTATCCCAGACAAATGTCTGTGTTTCCCAATCTCCTCATGGGACCTCCCTCTTTTACCTCCAAGCTGTTGCTTGCTGGCCAAGTAATCATACAATATATTTTTCCTCCTTCCAGCTGCCAAACCACATCAGCATCACTGAAGGCCCATTTCCTCCAGGAAGTGTTCCCCAATTAACCCCACCCATTCTCCAACTTCTCTAAATGTCTGGCCACATTTCTGGATACAGACCTAGCTGAGCAAGTTATTGTAATCACTTTTTAGCATTCATAATCTCCCAGTCTAAGACTTACCGTGTGTTAAGTATCTAGTCATGTGGTTTCAGCAAGACCATTAAGATCTTACCATCTTTTCCTGGAGGAAGACACATACGTTCCTCCTGCCGGCCTCACAAACCTAACCATCTCATCGGCTGTCTGGGACAGTTCCCGTAACATGAAAACGTCACTCACCTGGTCGAATTTCAGGAGTCTCGGCAGGTCATTCTTACTAATAAGACTTTTCACTTCATTGGCATCAGGCATGCACAGTCTATAGTTCAAATCTCCCAACCAAATGACAACACTGAGAACCAAGAAATAAAGGCACAGAAATAGCAGTAATTAACACTAAAACCACAACAACAAATAAGTCAACCAGAGAAGGAGGAAGAGAATAAAAAATGGCTAACTTATTAAGAAGAAGTAACCATCTGACCAGCAACTTAAGGCTATAACTGACACTTGTGGGAGCAAATAGCCTAGTCTAGATAATGGCCCCCCCAAAAAAACAAAACAAAACAAAACACTAAGCGCGCTGCCATCCAGTCGATGCTGACTATAGATCCACCACGGATTGTAAAATAGGTGGAAGAAATAGGCACTCCATACACAAAAACATAAAGGGGAAATACAGTATCTGGATGGGACTCGGAAGCCCAGGAGTTAACTGACTGATGGGGAAGCGTGGCGTTTATTTGTTGGCGTGCCTTCAACATTTTGCCGGGCTGCTTGCCAGGCCTGTAAGGGCGGAGAATGGGAACGGTTTCTGCCTCCCAGAGCACTGAGGTGCTGCAGGCTGTCTGCTACAGTCTGCATGGTCTGAACCAGAGTTCTCTCATGTTGGGCTCTCTAGCAAATAGCCCAGGGCTCGCCAGTGCCGCCAGGCTGTCTGTCTGTCTGCCCCTGGCCAACATTGGCAGTCCAAGTGGTCCAGGCTTTCCATCGCCATAACAGGTCCCTAGAGGTACAAAGGGCCCCATAAAAGAAGACCCTGAAATTCTCACAACCAAAAGGATTCTCCCATTTGTTATCTCAAGTTCCAAATGGGTCACACTTTGCCGATTTCAAATACAACATGCAGTTTATGGCATCCTAGAGAAATACATTTATGGAAACTCAGGGCAATTTGATGACTATACATTGCGATGCTTTGACCTTACCACAGTGACACAGAATAATAGGACATTGCTAATTGTTGGCATAATAGGAAAACAGTCATACAGCATTACCCTTCCCTACCCTGTCCTCAATCACCTCTTGATGCTACCACCCCTATGGCTTTCCCTATTGATTCCCACCTCAAGCCATGTATTTCAAGTGGCCCCTAGATGTTAACTGATTACGATTAATTTCCTTACAACTCATCATCTGCTACCACCCAGTCCTTTCCTCAACTGATTTGTGTCGACTCTCAGCGATTTCTCACGCATATTATCCCAATACTCCATGAGTGTCTCTAAGTACCCCTTGCCCCTAATTGTTAATGATTCACAGGTGTGAAAAAGCATACTACAGACCTCTAGTTACTGACTTGGAAAGATATCCACAAGAAATAGAATAATATAATCCTAAACAGCAAGTATGTGCATCATAGACCTAAGTTGTTACTCAATAAAAATACAATTAAAAAAATACAATTCCAACAGAAAAGTGGATGAAGGGAGATGTCGGGCAGGGCAAGATATGACAAAATACCCATTTATAAACTATCAAGGGCTCATGCGGGAGGGGGGAGCGGGGAGGGAGGGGAAAAATGAGGACCTAATGTCGGGGGTTTAAATGGAGAGAAAATGTTTTGAGAAACGATGTACAAATGCGCTTTACACAATTGATGTGTGTATGGATTGGGATAACAGTTGTATGAGCCCCTAATAAAATGTTAAAAAAGAAAAAAAAATACAATTCAAGTCACAAGTGACATTCTAAATCTTCCTTCTAGAATTTAAAAACCAAAAATAAGTTTATGTAACTCAATATATTAAAAATATTATCATTTTTTAAAAATGAGCTCTTTTACATGTTTTTCCTACTCAGTCTTTGAAATCCAGTGCACAACTTACACTTAAGAGTCCAGCTGCATTTCACCACATGCCTGTGGCTCTGGGCTGCCATATTGGACAGCCCAGAGTTAGTAGGGGCCACACTGAGTGGTTAGTGGGGGTTTCCTTTGGGGAGAGGGGCTAAAATAGGGAGTGAAGAATAAGCAATGGGGGATTTTTATTTATAATCTTTTCTTACAGTATTTTAGCACAAATAAAATTGTCCTTTGCCAACCTTCTCCCAAAGTTCCCCTCATGAGGTATTTTTCCTAAGCACACTAGATCAATTGTTGTGTTTTCTTTTAACTTGTTGCTGTAAAGTATCAGTATAGTGTACTTACTAAAATACCTCTGAGGGCATTTGGCGGGGGGTGGCAGGCGAAAGAACAAATGTGGAGCCTGCATGTTATTTGTAAAAAATGATTCATGGATAACAAGCACTTTCTTTTATAGTAAAACTAATGACTTTTATAGTAAAAACTGAATGACAACCCTGAGCCCTCTTAGCAGTGCTCTAGATGGCCCACTAACCTTCCCTGTGATGTCAAATCGCATTTCTCTGCCTCAATGCATCTGCTCTTCCTCAAACACTCTGTTCTTTAGGGATGCTAAACGCTAATGCCTCGCTCCTCACTCCCAAAGGGCTCTACGGTTTGTCTCCACACCGTGCCGCTTCTTATCCCCGTTAGTCAAAGAAGGACTGACAACTCACTCATGTTTCATGATGTTCAGCTGAGGCATGTTCTGATTTGGCACCACAAAACTCATTCGCGCACAAATATCCTTGTAGTCTTGATTCCTTCTCTCAAAATCCTCCACGTGGGCAGCCAGGTGGGAATTCACGATGCAAAATGTGGTGTTGTGAAACACAAATCTCACCGCCACCCCACCTTTGTTTCCCTGTGGACAAGAGTCAGGCGGCGGTTAGTATGGAGACACAAGTCGCAACTGAACTTCACAAAGACATACACAACAGTAAACTCCATGTCCTAGGTCAGCTCACCATTTTCCCCATGATTCCGGTTCCAACGGTTTCAGTCGTCACATCACGGATGTACCGCCATTGGTCCTTCCGGGCATATATAAGGAGCATCATCCCGACCAGGCGGACTAGTTGAACCTGAGGTTCAAGGAGTTCGGGAAGACTCAGATTAACACAATTCTTTGCCACACATCTAACTTCCCACAAAGGACTTTCCACCGAGAAGCTATAAACGAGACCCAAATCTGAATCCAAATGCTCTCCTTTCCCTAGGGACCCCCATAAAGAAGACACAAAAACCCTCTGGCGAAAAAGCTCTAGTCTGCCTCTGCAAGTGAAAGGTCCTGAGGGACAATGAAAACACTCAAGCTCTAGGTCCATTATTTTAATCACTTCCTAACCTATCAGGAGGAGGCAACATTAAAAGTCTAAACAATCAAAATAAAGCCTCTCACGGGCTGTTTCTTCCACCTCTCCTTCCAGAGCAGTTATTTTAATCACTTCCTAACCTATCAGGAGGAGGCAACATTAAAAGTCTAAACAATCAAAATAAAGCCTCTCACGGGCTGTTTCTTCCACCTCTCCTTCCAGAGCAGTGCTTCTCAACTGTTCTAATGCCGCAAACCTTTCATACAGTTCCTCATGTTGTGGTGAGCCCTCAATCATACAATTATTTTTGTTGCTACTTCATAACTGCAATTTTGCTACTGTTATGAATCGGGCGACCCCTGTGAAAGGGTCGTCCGATTCTCAAAAGGGCTGCCACCCACAAGTTGAAAACCGCTGCTCTACAATTTCTCCTTTCAAATTTTCTTTTTAAGCAAGCTCAATTTTTAAGACAACAATCCATTTTTAAATGTTACTGTGGTACCCCCCCCACACACACATACATATTTGCTATTTCAACCATTTTCACATATCCAATTCAGCCACATTAATTAGGTTCACTATGTACAGCCACCACTACTAACTGCTTGCAGATTTTTCCATCTCCCTTACCAGAGACCCAACACACCTTCTGCAATGCTTCCCTATTTCCCCCTCCCACCACCTCCTGCTAATACTCTAGGCATTTGCCTAATTCTAGATATTTCATTTAAGCGGGATCACACATTTGTCCTTTTGAGTCTGGCATATTTTACTCAGCATGATGTTTTAAAGCTTCATCTATGTGGTATGGATGTATCAGAACTTCATTCCTCATTATGGCTGAATAACAGTCCACTGTGTGACTAGACCACATTTGATTTACCCATCCGTTCATCTGTTGATGAGCAACTTTGATTATCTTTATTCTGTGAACCAGAGTCAGCGATAGGTCTGACATAGGTCATAGTCAGGGACCTAGATGTAAGGCATATTATCTGCCAGAGTTGTATTACCAAAGTAAACTATTAGGAGTTGTAGGCAAAAACCACTGGGTCAGATGACGTCTTTAAAAGGGCTCAGGATGGTAGCTCTATAATGAAAAAACTCTCCCAGTAGAGAAATGCTTCTACTGCATGCTTCCTAAAGACCAATAAGCTGGCTAACCTTGCTAAAGCTAAGTCTCCTCCTCTTGACTTATGACCCACTTGAAAACTATTTCAAAATATTTTTTAATTAAATATTTTTATTGGGGGCTCTTACATATCTTATCATAATCCATATATTCTTCCACTGTGTCAAGCACATTTGCACCTCTGCTGCCATCATTTTGAAAGCATTCTCTTCCCATGTGAGCCCCTGGTATCAGCTCCCCATTTCTGCCCCCTCTCACCCTACCTCACGAACCTAAGTCCTTCAAATTCTACTGCCTTTCAGTTGGACATCCAATGCCGAACATGTCAATCAACAATTTCAATCAAAGTCTGACTTCACAAATCAGCTACCTTATAGATAATGCCTTTGCATTAATCAATGAGAGGATAAAAATGAAATTCTTTTTGTTTTGCTTCCTCTTAAAAGCCATCTAAACAATAAAAATATGGAATGGGAAAGCTTCGGGAAAAGTTTTCCCTAGGCAAGAGATATCAAAGAGTTATCTACTTTATCCTAGTATTCCACACAAGGAAGAATTCAATTCAGTTGCTCTATTGGAAAGTTAGGCATAATGGAATTACGTCCCACTGAGATCTATAAAGGCATACACCAAAGGCAATGTTGACATATGACTTACTTTCTTATACTTGGCTCTAGGATGCAGACTCCCCTCTACAGCCAAGGACCACTCTTGTTCCTTCACAGATTCAAAATAGAAAAATGCTTCTGTGCTTAAGTCCAGCTCTTGGAATCTGAGAAAACAAGAGGATATAAGTGGTCTACATATCCCCTAATAATCACCACTGACTACCACTTGCTCCTTTTTCTAAAATATCAGGTTTTAAAAAAAACCCATCACAATAAACATTGAGATGGAGAGGGAATGTTGACATTTTTTATAGAATTCCTCAATTTACTATGTGATCAGTAAGGGCAATGATAGACTCCCCTCTAGCACGTTTACTGGAGATGTAAAAAGCAAGCTCCAAGCCTCTACGCCCCGAGGGAGGTCAGTAAGATCTGTTCTTCTAGCTTAGCGCTCACCTTTGTTGGAATTGGCCTGCAGCCTGTGTGAGTTTTCAGAGTGCCTGATGCTTCCCGGCATCACTATAGTGACTGTTCTTTTCTGAGCCCACACCTTGGCCCCACAGGTTAACTCTAACACAGGGTGCCCCATAAGTTTCTATCAAATGGTTTTGTAAAGAAAGAGTGAGAGCAGGAGGAAGAGAAGGCAAGCACACAGCACACTGCGAACACCCAACAGACAGCCCACTGTGAGTGCCAGAAGGGTTCTTTACCCAATGCAGTAGATGTCAGGAGGATTCGAGTCACAGTTGAGCCAAGGTTGAAGTCCACTATCTGGAGACTGACCATTCACGTTCCACGTGCCGACAAAAAATCTAATGCAGGATCCCCCCAAAACAGAAGGAAAACAAAGTTTGCTCTAGTCACTTTGATGCAAGGCTAAGATCAGAGCAAGCTAACACAATTCCGCAAAACATTCTGCCACACACGCTAGAAAAAAAAAACCCAAGGGGAAAAAACAAACAAACAGAAAAACCAAAAATCTTGCATCTGGAACACAGAAGCAGTGAGCATAATTTTTCTAAATGTTACTGTTATGTCGACTTTACAGAAACAAATGAAACCTCGGTTTAGAAAGACTTAACTGCTCTCCCACACTTCCTTTCAATTAAACTCCATCCAGATTCCGACTTGACAGGAGAGCGTGGGGATGGGGAAGTGTTTTCCTCGGGCTGTAAGCTAGTCGAATGTGGTGTCCTTTGTGGAGCTGTAACTGAAAGCAACTATACTCACTGCATGAAGGGCTAGGACACTTGTGTAGAAAATTCAGATGAGGCAGATACACTATTAAGGCAGGAAGACGAGAAAACTCATGAAGGTCTCAATTGTTTACAGACAAATATAACCGCCGCGGGGCCTGGAGGGATCTGGAGGTTTCAGCACAGGGATCTAGTGATGATTGAGCTGGAACGAATGAGGCATGATGGGCTAACGGATAGAACTGGAATCTTAGACTAGAAATAGAGACCTCCTGATCCAAAGAAGACAATGGGTGAAGTGTTCCTTAGCTCATCAAAGTTAAGGTAGGACCTAGTGGTGATGGTAGATTTTACATTTCAATATTTGCTGGGGCGAAGGAAACCCAGCAGGCCAGAGACATGCGCATGCATGTTTGTGGAACATATGCAGAGCTTGCTCTGGCTCTCTAAGTGTGGACAGAAACAAGAGTCGGTGTGGTATTACGAGTTGGTGGAACATCCAAGGGATTTTGGATTGGGATGTATACTGTATTAGCCAGCATGAAGACAAGCACTCGCGTCAGACATTCATGTCCTCCCGCTCTGATTCTTAAGCGTGTCAATGCCTTCAGTGCCGAGTGGCTGTTCTGTACTACATCTACTCCTCGAGCGGTAGGAGAGAGAGACCAACCTGAAAGTCTGAATGTTGACATATTCTTTCTCGCGCTTTGCCAGGATGTGTTTGATGAGACCCTCTCGCTGTCCAGACTGGCTACTTGGCTCAAAGAGCTTCCGCATGGTGTTGGTCACTTTGGGCTGCTCCTTGCTATTGGCTTCTTTGTCCCGGGGAAGCCTGACAAACAATACGGAATTCCACAGGAAGGCTGCAGAGAACAGACTTCTGCGTGGGAAACGCATCTCAGGTGCGCCACTTACATTCTGTTGATGGAAGGGGGCGGGGGCGGGGGCTCCCGATGAGTCCCTGGAGGCTGATTCTGTGAGTTGATTTTCTTGTCCAAATTCATAGATGAAAAGTTATCCTCAAATCCAAGAAGCCCTGCAGGGGTGAGGTGAAGGGGGGAAAAGCTAACCACTAATATATCCGGTAGATGGGGCGGATGACTTCCTTAGGGTTGTTAGTCAACAAAAAGCTATCAGAAGGAAAATAGCAAGTTCCCTCAGGGAGACAGCACACCTGTCCCTAAATTAGCACTGCTAGAATGGCAAGAATAGTGGGTTACATGATTCTGGGATTAGAAGAAGAACAACAAGCATTTCTTGAGAACTGAGCATTAAGGCCTCACTTGTTGCACAAACCTAAGAGCTAGCACGCCACAGAAAGGCATGCGCGTCCTGTCTGTCAGAGGCCTGAGTGAGTTAAAACCACTCCATAGCTATTCGTCTATCTCCTGGCACCTGTCCAGATAGGAGCTACTGCCTCTAATGCTCACAGCCTCCAGAGAACCAGGAGCTTCCCAGTACCTGAAAGCCCAGGCTTTTCTTTTGTGTCTGATTTCGGATACCAGCTGGACGAGTCCTTTTGGTCTGGAACAAGGAGTTGTAACTGAGCTGGAGAGAGAAGGGTCACGGTCAGGAACTGGGGATCCTGTCAGTGAGTTTACAATAACTGAAAACCATTCACAGAGACTAGCACCATTCTTGAATGTAACAGAAAAGTCTAAGAAAAATCTGCCTGCCATGACATTGAAGGATCTGGAAATTGGCTCACATTGTCCTGAAAGCTAAATAGGTTTGTTCCCTAATCTAACCCCAGGTTCATCTCTGAAGGAAAAAAAACTACACAAAACCAAAATCAGTATTTAAGCTGAAAGGGTAAAGTCCTTTGCTAAGTCTTGAGTTACCTTCCTGAGCAGCAAGGACCTCTGAGAGGAACTTCAAGCAGTATTCCTCATCAGGGATTTCAAAGTGGCGTTCTCTGGTCCAGTCCCCCTGAACCCGAATTTTGCAGCCACCTAAAAAGAATGGAAACACACACACACACACACACACACACACACAGCTGTGAATCATAATGCTTTCTTGTGAGCGGACCCTCAACTTAGCAGGTTAACAGGCCCAGGTCTAGATCATAACTACTGCAGACTTCTAATATACATCCCATAAGTATAGGAGATCCAGGGACTCAGTGTGGTCGGGCCAGGGGGAGAGGAGGCGGGAAGGAAACCTATGAGAAGCTAGTACTGCTAGAGTTGGCCCATGAGCAACCCAACAGAGTGATAAAGCATGCAGTGAATCAATCCGCTTCCTACTTTTGACCCCTCTCTCAGATGTGGAAGAGAAAACAGGTTGTGTGAGGCCAACAATGGTCACCCTTGCTTCCTGATTGCCCACTTCTGCTTGCTGTGTCACTTTCATGCCACTTCTGATGGGGTGATCTTAGAGGCTCGAGTTTTAGCATGCAGCCACCTTTGCTTACCAAAGTCCTAAAGACCCCTCCCTCCTACTGGGCAGTGCTAAGAAACAAATCGCTCCTGTCATCACCAGGGAGCCACTTCATCTGTAAGTCCTCTAAATAATCACCTTGTTGCCACTCTTGGGGTGGCCCCGCCTCCTTCTCCCGTCACACAGTGTGGTACCTCATGTCGATTTTAAGTCACTGGTTCACGCTGAGACAGATGTTAATGCAAGGGCCTCCAAATGCGGTGCAAGATAAATTCCCAACCACCCCTCCCCACTTCCATCCATTGGCTGGAATGTCCTACCCTTATAAATCCTGATTATGGATTAAGAGTATCTGAAGTATGAATTCTGATGCTGTTGTTGAGTAAGTGCTGGGCTGCTAAGCGTGAGGTTAGCGGTTTAAGCCAGCCACCTGCTCCTTGGTAGACAGATGAAGCTGTCTGTTCCTATAAAGATCCACCATCTCAGGAACTCTATATAGGGTCACTCTGACTCAGACTCGACTTGACAGCAGTGGGTAGAAGTGTGGAAAAATAAAGGAAGTACAATGACTTGCTCACAGACATACATTTGACCGGGGTAGATGAACTGACCAACTCAATTTTAAAATGGCTAATGGGCGTGGTGCAGAGTATTTTGAATTTTCACTTTATCACAAGTGAAAAACATCATGTCTTGAACAAACTTGCCAGCACTGTAATGAGCTGTGTCCAGTAGTTGTTCAGTTATTCATTATTATCAAGTAATAGCCAACACGGAAAAGAGCATCAAAGTGCAGTTATCTAGAACTTTAGTTTCATATGTGTGCAAGGGTCTTTAGAAAGCTCATGGAAGAGTTCCACTGTCTCTGAATTCCATTTCCCCACAAACTTTTTCAAGCCTCCTCGCATAACATATTATCTTCCCACTTCTCATGACCTATCGTTATCATCAGGAACCCTGGTGATGTAGTGGTTACACGCTGGGTTGCTAACTGCAAGATCAGCAGTTCAAAACTCCCAGCCACTCCAAGGGAGAAAGACAGGGCTTTCTACTCCTGTAAAGTGTTAGAGTCTCAGGAACTCACAAGAGAAATACTAACTACCCCGTCCTACAGGGTGGCTATGGGTTGAAATTGACTGGATGGCAGTGAGTATAGTTAACATCTGTACTCACTGTTTGGATATAGGGACTCAAGAATGCATGCCCTCTCTTATATTATCAGTTTAACTGATTTGTTACATGTATTGCTTTCTCAGGCCCCACTACAAACTCCTTGTGGGTAGAAGGTAGATTCTATAACCTAACATGTATATAACTCAACAGTCCAGAGGGATTAGCTGGTCCAGTCTTGCTAGGACCTAGGGCGCAGGGGGGGTGGGGGGGGGAGGCGGGGGCAGGATACAGGAATTGCAATGCTAAGACTAGGGAAGTCCCAGGCAAACCAGGGGGGTGGGTCACATAATTGATGATCAAACTCATTGTCAGAGTCAATTCTAACTTACAGCACTCCTATGGGACAGAAGTAGAACTGCCCCTGTGGGTTTCCAGAACTGTAAATCTGTATGGGAATAGAAAACCCTGTCTTTTCCCTCTCAGTGGCTGGTGGTTTAGAATGGCTGGCCTTATAGTTATCAGCCCAACATGTTAACCCATTATGCCACCAGGTAAGTGAAAATCGTAGTGTCTTCCGATGGACAGGCTCTCTATATTCCCTTTATACTTGTAATGTTTTCCTCTGTACAGATTGGGTTAAAAAGGAAAAGAAGTGACCAGAAGAAATGGAGAAAGAAATGTAAGAGAAAGCACCCAAGTGGACCAGAGATAAGAAAACTCGTGAGGCAGGGGAAAGACTGTGTCCCTGAGAAGCAGCCTTGAAGAGACAAGGGAATGGCTTCAGAGAATAACAAGTCCTCCTTTTCACAGATAATTTGTCTCAATAGTCCTGGGAAAAAAGGGAGTATCTAGCTGATAAACAAGAGTGAGAACATAGCCTTTCTCTCACAATCCTTGAAAGATAGATTTGTAGCACATACCAAATAAAAATCAACTGAAATGTATCCATTTAATGGCCAAATGATTCCATAAATGACCTACAATTTAACATGGAATGCTACCTCACCATTTTAGGTGGGGAAGAAGAAAAATAACTCAGGCAACCCAATCTTCTATTCTTTTTCTCCCTTTTAACACCCTCTGGACCTCCAATTCCCTATAATCGCAACATTTCGGGACACTAGCCCCTTCCCCCGTTTCAGCGCACTGTGGGTACCTGGAATCATCAGAGAGGCTTTATAGAACACCAAGCCTTGCCCTGCCCCAGGCTAATGAAAACAGAAAAGCTAGGGGAATCAGTAGGTACTGGTCGTCTTTAAAATACTCTTCCTGGTAACCCTAATGTGCATGCAGCTTGATAACCAGCAGTGGCCAAAGCAGGCTGAGCCTAGACAACAACATTCCTCAGCTTTGATGACAGCTCTGCCATAGTCTCTCTCACTCTATGTAATTTAAGGTTGGGGGTCCTTATTTTTAAGTAGACCTAGTGGCACAGTGGGTTAGTCACTGGGCTATATTTGCCAAGGTCAGTGGCTCAAACCCACCAGCAGCTCTTTGGGAGAAAGATGAGGCTGTCTGCTCTTGTAAAGATTTACAGTCTCAGAAACCCTAAGGGGCAGGTCTACTCTATCCTATAGGGTCACTCACACCCAACCCAGTCGAGTTAATTCTGACTCGTAGCAAGCCTGTGGGACAGAGTTAGAACTGCTCTTGTGGGTTTCCAAGACTGCAACTCTTTAGGAGAGCAAACAGCTTCATCTTTCTCCCAAGGAGCAGCTGGTGGGTTGGAACTGCCCATTTTGAGGTTAACTGCCTGATGCCTAGCCAACAGCCCCACCCAAGCTCTTTAAGCATAAGGGATAAACCAAAACTAAACACACTGCCATTGAGTCAATCCTGTTGCCATTATTATTACAATTTGTAGTACAATATGCACTCTGAGGTACATCAAAACCCAACTGCCATCCAAGTGAGTCCCTCATAGCAACTGCATTAGACAGAGAAGAACTGCCCCTGTGGGTTTCTGAGACTGCAACTTGTTAGTGACCCAGACCTCTCTTCTCAGTTTCACACGCACATGTTCAACCTGCCAATTTAACATTGACGCTTGCCTAGCTCAAAGAAATCTCTAACTAAAGATGGCCCAAATTGAATTTATAACGCGATTGCCCACCTCCCAGCCCCAAGAAACGTTATTCCGCTTGCAGTATCTCTTATTGCCCTACCAACCACATTGCTGCTGGACACCCCGCATTTCTCCTCCAGCCCCCTCTTCCACACTCAAACCTGTTGCTGCTTCTCTCCACTTCTCTAGTGTCAACTCCTGAAGCAGTCGGCGAACTTGTCTCTCTCTCTCTGAGGCACGCCAGCCTCAAACCTGCCGTGTGCTCCCTATTTTTATGATTGAAAAATGCAGATTCCTCACTGCTTTCGGGAGCCCTGGTGGAGTAGCGAGTTACACTTTGGGTTGCTAACTGCACAGTCAGGAGTTTAATACCACCAGCCACTCTGAGGTTTTCTGCTCCCTGTAAAGAATTGTCAGAGCCCTCGAAGCCCACAGGGCCAGTTCTACTCGGTCCTACAGGGCCGCTATGAGTGGGAATGGACTCAGTGACAGGGAGCTTGGTTTTGCTTTTGACTGTGGCTGCAAGGAACCTCCCTGATCTGGCCCGTGCCTGCCTTACTTTGGCACTCAAGCATCACTTACTTCAGGCACTCTGGCTCTCTCCCAATTCCAAGAACTCGGGCGTTCTGCTATTTCTTCCCAACATAAGGAGTCTTGGTGATGCAATGGTTTAACAGCCGGCTATGAACCTAAAGGTTGCTGGTTTGAACCCACCCAGTGGCTTCATGAAGATGACAGTCAAGAAAACCCAGTGGGGCAGGTGTGCTCTGTCACTTGGGGTTGCTATGAGTCCAAACCAACGCAAACAACTTCACAACTCAGGGTCTATGTACCTGCCATTCCCTTGACCTGGAATGCCCTTCTTTCCTTCATTGTCATCTAACTTTTACTTAGGTCCTCTGCAGGAGCAGGGAATGATTTAATGTGGCTCTTCTAGTCAAAGTCTAACGCCCACCAAACAGCCTTTCCCTCCAAGGGTCTGGTAAGAAGGTAGAAGAAGATACTGATAGGATTCACTGGTGAGTAACTGGGAACAGGATTCCCTGGAGCGCCATCCTAGATCTCATTATTAACAAGAGCCTGGAGTGGGGCCCGTCCTCTGGATCCAAGATCCCTGTGCAGTGACCTTCTTGGATCCAGATGACAGCTACAGCATCAGAGGAGCAGCAGCAGAAGCAGGAGCCAGAACAAGGAACCGAGTGGTGGACTTCCCAATCCAAGTAAAGCTGAGTGCTTTTGTGCAGGAGACTGGCTTGTGGAGTGGGATACCTCTGGGCACTGAAGTGGGGAAGTTGGGCTAGCTGAACCATGGAAGCAAAGTTGAGTGCCTTTAGATTGAAGCTTACAGGAACTTGGGGCCTCTGGGTCTTAATTTAGGGAGCTGAGTTTGCT